TTTGGAATCTCACCAAGAAAAGCCCCCCCCCCCATCCGTGCTGCTGTCGATTCAGGCTAACAAATTCAGATTCCAGGTGTGAAAATAAACACAGTGAACCTGTCCCCAAATATTAGACACCTCACACAACCCTACACTAGAACCAGGGTGTGCTTGCAAATTACTATTATTTTAGAACAACATTGATAGCCCACAGGATTAACAGATGGGCTAAAACCGATTCTACTTTCTTAAAGAGATGTGCTGTATGAAGCAATGTTGGGTCAGTGAAAGTTTAAATATTTCAGCTTTGTAAGTTTCCTTACTTTTGTATTTATACGACCAAATTAATCTTCTGGGTTCTGGTCCTCTCTATAAATCAGAATAGCTGCCACATTTCAGTGACATTTTTTCAATATGCTGGCTCAAAAAGTTTCTTCCCAGCTTGACTGGGTGTCTGTTCCCTTCTTCTGTGCCAGAGCCTGCAGTGTTTTTTATCCTTTGCCTCCCACATTTGAACTGAACTCTTTTGGTGGCTTCTTGGACAATATAAATATTGAATGCCCTGTTATATTACATGACCAGGATATAGCTTAAGTTTTAATTTTCACAGCAAGGAACTGAAGATCTTTCGTTATTATCACTGGATTATTTGTTCCTGTTTTGTCTTTCCTCACAGGCTGGTTTTTACAGCTGTTATTAATCATGGAAGTTAAAAGCAATCCTTTGATAATTCACATGTAGGGATTACAAAAGGAAATACAAATGTGTTTTAGAGTGTGTTTTTGTCTGTCTGTCTCTCTGTCTGTCTGTCTCTCTGTCTCTCTGTCCAGGCAGGTGACATGCAGTTAGGAGCAGACTCAATCTTTAATGGCCAAGGTCACCAAGGCTAGAAAAATAGCAGACAGACTTATCATGTCCCATGAATCTAGGTAGAAATCTTAGATTCTATGATTAAAGCAATTCCAATGAATTAAGGTGTTAAATAAGGTTGCCCCCCCTACCGCCAGCTCATCCACCTTTTCCACAATGACATTATTCTAGGATTATTTAGTCCCAAACTCTTTCCCTCTTCCATGGGTCTTAGTAGGATTTCAATATATTTGTTTGTCCATAATATGGCACTCCAGATGAACCTGCTATTTCCTTGAATAACGTTCTCATGTAAACTCAGGCAAGAGTTCTCCCATTCTGCATAAATGAGCACTTGTGCACGGGCAGTGTCAGAGTATAGCTTGGGAGCTGTAGTTTGGAAACATGTGGCACATCAGGATGCCATGCTGCACAATATCATGTTCCGATTTCCTATTGGTTGGTTGGCTGGATGGTTTCCTCAAAGAAACATGTCACCTACCATCAGCAATAATTAAAGTATGCATTTACTTATTAAACAGTTTTTAAAGTATTGTATGGTCAACAATGAACCAATCAGAACTATCAAGCGTAAGAGAGATGGGACATTACGTCACAGTTCACTGTAACCATGAGAAGGGTTAATACATCCCACTAAGACACACATAGAAATAATATTTAGATACAAACTATGTATACTCAGAAATTCACGATCAATTCCAAACCAGATTGAGAATTCATAAAATACCATTCCAGGCTTGTTAAAAAAGTGAGCATTATAAGTAGGGAAAGTCTGACCACCAAGCCAAGTAATTATGAAATTTAGCTGCATCACTACAGCTGTTGCTTTAAAAGGCAATGTCTAGACTTGATCAATATTGCGAAGAGGAAAATCTAAAGATCAATTACAGAAAAAACAAGATTATGGTCTTTAAAGGGAATATGAGGGATTCTAGTGGCTATGTATATCTGGCTCACACATAACTTGATCTTTTTTCTTCACTTCATTATTTAGCAAGGGTTGATTCATTGCTGAATGAGTAATATGGCTTCATTGACACATAAGACGGTGTCTGCGGGGTTTGAGATGAGATAGTTTCTTTATACTTATAAACCCTTTGATGTTGCAGCAATGAGCACAAAGTGATCAAGATTATTGGGTATGAGTAAAACTTATAAGCCCAGGATGGGATACCACTTGCCCTCCAAATGTTTTGGATCAAGGAGAATGGGTGTTGTACTCTAAAATCACTGACAGGCACTCTGGTGGCCTACTCCTGCCATGAACTTGCTCATCCTTGGAAATGTGGAAGTGTTGGAAATTTCCCACCACTTGATGTCCTGCCTCCACTGGTGTCTCAGTCTTCCATATCCTTGAGGATATCCTAAACCCATCTGAGGCAAAACAAATTGAACCAAACAGGCCAAATTGTTATATAGTTCTGCATGTGGCATGTGAAGTTGGTTCCTGAAGCTCGGAGAGCATTTGCCTGATGTCACCACCAGTTTTTTCCTATCCTTCCACTTATTTTGTGCACATTCTTTCACTTTACTTGACCATTCCTTAGGTTCCGGTCCTTTAGAATATTTTCATACCATTTTTTACAGCAAAGTCCTTTCAAGGTGGTCTACGAAGTAGAAAGCATAAAACAACAGATGACAGATTCAGCTACAGGGTGCTCCAGCCACCACTCCTTCATTTTCCCCCAACCAGCACATTTTAATCTTGAAAAATAACCAGTTCTTCTTTGCCAAGCCACCTGCAGCTTCTCCTGCCACCACCACCATGACACCATTTCTCTTGTGCCGCTGCAGAGCTTCTCCTGGGAAGGCAACAACTCCAGGGCTCTTGCTCTGGATGGAAACATTTTGGAGTCTACCTACTGCTCAGTGCCAGGCAATGTGAGCTCCTGTCCTTGAAGGAGAAGAGGTGAGAAAGTGCCCCTTGGCTATTAGCCTGAGATGGTTAGTCAGGGGTCCCCCATCATTCCACAAGGGAGGGGAGGGTGCCCAGGAGCTTGCATACTGGCTCTTTTGAGAGAGATCAGAGGAGGAGAAGGAACAGTTTCAGTGGTAGGTTGTTCTTTCATCTTTGAAAGGTGTTGTCTACATGGTCTAGTTGTATGTGTGTGTGTGTAGAAGGAGTGGGGTATGTGTTTTGCAAAATGTTTCTGTTGGTTTGTCAAGGGATACATTTTCTCTAGAGCAATTCAAGCCTTACTTTTACAAGATATGCATAATCTGGAATTTTGTACCATGCAGCTTCTGAGTAGGTGTGCTCCTGTGGATTCTTTGTAATGCATCAAAAAAGGCAAGGATTTCTGAACATTTTCAGAACTGTGTTCCAAAGGATGCTTTTCTGTGTGGCTCTGAAAACATCATGTCTTGTTTTAATAATTACCATCATTATTGTTATGGCTGTAACAATTCTGCCCTACCACTTACCATTTCATTCTCTGTGGGATGGTTCTTGCCAGAACCAGGGAGCGTGGGTCCAAAGGAGCATTTTGTGTAGCTGTGTGACTTCCCCATCTCACCTTTGCAGAGCCTGCACCTCAGTTTTGTCCTTCTGTGGAATGGGTTTTCTGACTCTTGCGGATTTGGAGAGTGTGTCACAATTTGTGACTCAGTGGCCCTGCCTCAGTTGACCCCACCCCCCAACCATTTGGACTGCTCATCTGCCTCCCCTGCTAAAAGAAACACAATATAATTACTAAAGCAATATCAACCTTTCATTTAAAAACAGAAATAATGAAAAAGTAGCAGCAAAAGTTAAAGCTAGAACTTATTAAATGTAGACCAGCTACATTTCAGTTAATTCAATTAAAAGCGTACTTTATGAGCCACTAGAGCCACCTAGTGGAAAGTGAACAATCAGCAATCGAAGAAGAGTAGTACCAAACACCCAACTCCCTCCCTCCCTCCCTCGCGCGCGCGCGCGCACACACACACACACACACACTTGAATGGAAAAGGCTGTTTTGTATTATTATTGATATCAGATTCTTCATTGCGCTTGAGCAAAGGGTCACACTATATCTACCTTGTTAATCCCACTGTTTAATGGTTTGAGCCCCAGTCACTACTTTTCTCCTTTGCCATTCCTCCCTCCTTCTCTCACCCGGAAATTTAACATCAAATCCTTCCATTAGTTTTGATTTGCCTCCTTTGGTAGAAACAGATTTCTCTGCAAGTGGATTTTATATATGCTGCCACCTGGTGGCTAAATGTCAAGTTATCCACCTGTTAATCATTCAAAACATCATACCCAGGGGAGATAGTACAAGTATGAACTAGCTCCTTCCTTCCTTTCCTCTCTCTCTCTCCATCTCTCTCTCTCCATCTCTCTCTCTGTCTCAGAGTTATCTCCACGTAAAGTGCACAAAACAAAACCTAAACTCTGCATGTCTGTTGTGGAGTGCACCTTAAGGAGCATAGGCAATTCCTTAAGTCAAACCATTAAGTTAATGGTTAAGTATATCAAGTCTCAACTATTAAGTGTATCAAGTCAGACCTTAGTAATTTAAGCCAATATAGTCAACACTGACTGGCAACAACGGTTCTCCAGAAAATCCATTAAGTGCGCAATCCTATGCAAATCTTGACAAGGCCTACAACTCTCTGTGTTCCAGCCAGTTTTAGGCCCCTTTTCTTGTCTAACATGCATAGATTGCTTCTAAAATCCCCTGGGCAGTTTTGCTCCATCTGTTTCTCTCAATTTATTGTGTTTTTATCTTGTGTTGTGAGCTGCCCAGAGGTGCTGTGGCACAATTGGGCAGCATACAAATGTTTAAAATAAATAAATAAATAAATAAATAAATTTGATGCTATGGCAAGAAAAGGTTAAAAACCTTGTACACTAGGTTTACAGAAGGAATGCTCCTGCAGCTTTTATTTGAAGCATGGCTTACCACAACTTGCAAGTGTGTCAGGAAACCTGATTTTTTCCCCCTATGAACCTGATCTTCCCCCCCACTGGGCGCTTTTCTAGTCCCCCTATTCTCTCTTATCTTGTTCTTACTCAAAGAGAAAAAAGTGAAAGCGAAATGGTTTGGGTTCGTGTTAGATGTTTCGGACCAACAAAAGCCTTCTTCCTCTTTCACGAGTCAAATTTCTCTTGCTTCCTGAGTAAGGAGGCACACCAGAGAGCGGGTCTGAAGCACCGCGGTACTCCGGATGCCAAGATGGAAAAGTTGCGCGCTATGCTGGACCTTTGCGTGGCGCACCAGAAGGTGCTGGGCTACGGGACTGTGTCTCTGCTGACTCTCGGCAGCGAACGCATCTTCTCTGACGTGGTGTTCAAATGCCCGTGCAACTCCTGGAACTTGCCGTACGGCGCGGTCTTCCTGCTGGTGCCCGCTCTGATCCTGTTCCTGCTCGGCTTGCTGCTCAGTTCGCGGTCCTGGAAGGTGCTGACGGGCTGCTGCGCCCCCTCGAGGCCGTGTAGGTGTGCGCACGGCGGTCGCCTCTGGCGCCACTTTAAAGTGCTGGGCCTGTCGATGGCCGGGGCCGCTGTGGCGCCCTTGACGTGGATCGCCGTGGCCCTGCTGAGGGGCAGCTTCTACGAATGCGCTGCGACCGGGACCGCGGTGCTGCAGAGATACGCGTGCAGCAGCGAAGTGGAGACGTGCACGGAGGCCGTGCTGCAGGCGCCCTGCCAGAGCCCCGACTCGTCCCAGAAGGTACCCGGCCTGCTCCCGTCGCTTCGCGCGCAGTCTCAGGTCGGTGCGGCCCTCTCCAGCTTGCCCTGGGCTCACTCAAGGGGGTAGATCGATTTGATGGGCAGGCCAGACTTGGAGATGGTGGGAGAGCCCCACACGAAACTTCCCAGTTCTTGAGTTCATTACAGGGGGTCCTTCCCCAGGTACCCGCATAGGCATACGTCAGACAGGGTGCTAGGGCGGCGGCGGGGGGGGGGGGGACGTCAGTTCTGGAGTGTACCTGCTGGCGCTGCTTGCTTAATGCACTCAAAATGCCAGGCCAAGATCTTTCCTGTTGTCTAGGCTTTCCGTGTTTAATTTGCTGCTGATGCTTTACCTGTTCTATCGACCGATTCACTGATGTTTGATGCTTAAATCTGTTTTGAAGCATACTTTTTGCAAGCCCACATTTGGTTGGAATGAGATGTCCTCGTGTTTGGAACTGGCTGCCAAGAGAGATCCATTTTGCATGCTCCTTTTTGCCCATCTGCTGCAGCATGATATTTTTGTCTCAGTTTATGGGTAGGGTGTGTTTTGCCTGAGTTTTTTTTACATGTCCATGCATGTGTATATGGGAGCTGCTTGGGTTGTCTGTTTTTGTTTCTCTGATCATCTCATTTCCTGTCTGTGAAATGCGTATTTTCTGCTTTCAGGAGGCAAATGCATGTCAGACCTCACTTTGTCTTATATTTAGATTTCTGGTAAATAAGTTGACTTTTAGCTCAGCAGTTTGCCTTTTTATGAATTGGGTGTTCTATTGGAACATAAATGTTTGGGTTAGTGTTTTGCTTTTCTATGAAATAGTTCTTTTGTTGCAGTAATAAATTTTCTGATTGGTCACATATCCTTCCATATCCTTTTTATGATGAGAAATGGCCCTGGGAATTTCTCAAAATTCAAAAGGATGGATCCAGAAGGAGCATTCCACAACAGGGAACCATCCTCCATGAGAGGATGGGGGCAACTTGTATCAGCTTTGCCTATCCAATATCTGGGAGTCTCTCTTCCTAATCCTATCGCTCATCCTATAATAAGATCAAGTAAGATAACTACAGATCACAGAAAGATCTCCTGACTGTCTGCATAGCATTTTAAGGGCTGGACAGGCAGCCCTGGGAAGGAAGGGATGGAAAAGCTCACTTGATCCACCTTGGGTCCTCAAAAGTTAGTGAGCCTTGGGTCATCGATGGGCCTGAACCTGCGGCATCTTGGGAAAAGGCAGGGATTTTGGATTGAGTGGATCAAAGATTGTCTCTGAATGCTCTGCCGCTAGCATACCCTGGCAGAAACACCCCTGGCAGTAGATACACTTGCAGAAAATCAAGATTCCTGCCGACCTATTGGGGTGGGGGTCCACAGTGGCTGCACTTCATCTGTGAAGATTTCAGCAGAGGGGCATTTCTATACTGCCTCTGGGTGCATATTTAACCTATTAAATATAATAATATTTATGATTCTAGACACAAACAAATAAAGGTCCCTATGAGACATTCCTACATTTGTTCTTGGCATGTCCTGGAAAGAGCTAATTCGACACAACACAGCCCCAAATTACTAGGGTGTTTAGACAGAGTAAGGGACAGGAGGTTGATCAGGATCTACTAGCAAATTTTGGAGTAACTTGAAAGCAAAGAATAACCAGGAATGGAATCTGCTTACATGTGGTTCAGTTTTGGCATTGAAAAAAAACTTTTTCTAGGCTCAGAATATGCTCAATCTGTAATTCTAGATCCCCTTCCTCAGTCTTGTCCTCTCCAAATGCATTGGACTGCAATTCCCATAAGTCCTGGCCAGCAATGGCCATGCTCTCTGAGAAGCATGGGAATTCCAGGGTTGCACCTGGCTCTGGTTGGTGGGTCTCAGAATTCTAGTTTTTAAAAAATAGACCAGATGAGCCTGAATTATACCCAACTGTGTTCTAGACACAAGTATCTGAGTTCCTGGATGCAGTCATTATTCTTATCTCTCATATACTTTCTTCTTACCACAGGTGATTGGATGGATTTTGATTGCCAGTGTCTTCACATTAGTCCTGATTACCACCTGTATCTCCCACTGCCGTTCTCCTATCAGTATTCTTCAGCTGGCATTCTGGAAAATATACACGGAGCAAGAGCAGCGTCTCTTTGAGGCCAAGGCCAAGGAACATGCAGCTCAACTGGCAGAGAAGAATATCAATTACTTCTTTGGCTGTGCTGAGTGGGAATCACTTTCCACTCCAAGTCCCAAAGCCTGGCACAACATTTCCTCTCTCTTTGCCTTTAATCCTGAGGAACATTACTATAGCATGATACACAAGTATGCTTCCTACAAAGCCAAAAATGGCAGCATTCAATCTACTGAAGGAGATACGTTTCCCGTTTGTCTGACATTTGTGGATAGTGCAACTGGTCAGAATCAAGTGATATAATGACAAAATGTGGTTAGCATCCCAGGCTCCATCATGAGGAGATCTTTAACTGAACATGGCTATGCACTTGTATCAGAGAGAATTTGACCCTGCACTGATGACTAGCTTTGCTTTTTCAAAACATACGTGTTACAGCTTTTAGTTGTGCTCTTAAAGAATTGTCTTTATGTAAGGCCAATTTTTGTGTGACTATCGTAGGAGATGTTTTCAAGATCAGTGTTTGAATAAACATTGGCAGGAAGGACCGTTTCAGAGCTTACAATCCATGATGTCCTGAGGCTTTCATGTATGCCCAGAGATTCTTTGGCTCTTCTTTTAAGGAAACCCATATTTCAAGAGTAGCTCATTTGCCCACCTAGTATACTGAGAAGGGGTCTCTCCTGCACAACCCACTGGGTCCTGGCCTAGGAATGGACCCATTCTGCAAAGGGTTCTCCCCATCCTGCCAGTCCGGCTACAGGGGGAATATGTCTCAGTCCTTAAACATTGTCATAATGTACAGTGTCATTCTCATTATTGGAGCATCATAAACGTTGAGACACTTTTATTGGAAAGCCTTCCTGAAAGGCTTCCAAATTAAAGCTTTCTGTATTTCAATACTGATGTATAGTATAATTCATTCAAAAGAATAACTACCCCAATGCATTGAGTGAAGAGGAAATATGTTGATGGATTTTTGTAAATATGAACACATACAGGGCACAAACCAGTCCCAGGTGCAGCAACAATTCAGTTTTCATTTAGGGTGTATGACATGCTGTTCTTGAAAAGGTCTTGAGCATTTCTCTCCATTGCTTTTGGCTGTTCTCACAGATGACCTAAAACAGACTTTCAGTGTCTTATGGGGAAAGTGGAAGGTGTACCCACTCCATTGCACAGTGCAGCACTGGTGATCATATTTCTGTTAACTCTGCTCAGTGAGATCACAGTGGTAGGCCTCCTCACTGCCACCATCAATAACCTTTGGGCAACCCTAACTAGGCATTTTTGTTGACATTGTAATGCCTGACTTGGGCGTGTGTCCCATGATGTAATGCCTGACATCAATAAACAAAAAAGCATGACATCACAGGTCTGAAGAAATCCAGGATATATCTGCCAGTATATCTTTGTTTATGTTGCTGTAGTTTTCTTCCAGTATGTAACTCACTTATGCTAAACTTGAAGTGCTCTTCTGCGGGCAGGAAAAGTGACTTCAGTGGGCTGGGACTGAATGGCGGGAGGAAGAAAAATCAGCAAAAAGGCAGCAACTCAGGGATTTTTCAGGTGTTTTTCCACCTTCCTTGAATCCCCCTGCAGCCTCTTCTCCCCTTCTCTCCCTTGGAAAAAAATAAAGTATGTGCTGTCTTTTCAAGGCTTCTCAAGTCTCTCCTTTGTCCTCTGGCTCAAGAAACAACTAGCTGACATGCATATCTACTCAGCAGTAAATCAGATCATCATCCAGGGCCTTAAATTGAAATTAAATGGGCTCCAGTGGGACAAGTTGTGTGGGGCTGTACTTGCTTGCTTTGGGGTGTAGGGAATGGGAGTGCCGGTCCCACTGGCTTCCACACCGCGCGAGTTGGGAAGAAAGGCATACACAGCAGCCCCCATTCCCCTTCTCCATGGCTTTATGAAGGGGCAGTAAATGCTGTCGAGCCCTCCCCACAGACTATCCCTGCTCTTTCATCCCCTTCCACCTTCACGTGGCCAGCTGAGCTAAAAACCAACAACAAAGGGAGCCTTAGAGGGACACCTGCCTGCACATGTCCCCTTTCCAGTTCCTCCACCTCCTCCTGCAATTGCAGGTATGTTTGGCACACGCTCGCTCTGCGGTATTTGTTTGCACTGGCCCCTACTGGGATAAGGGCATTTTGCATGGATCATCCATTGCTGCATCACGTCGCGCATACCTGGCTGCAGGCGCCCCGCAGGCCTGCTGCTTGGGAAAAGGAGAGGGAAGGTTGCTGCTGTCTCCAGTGAAAACGCTTGACAAGCCAACACAACGCATACGGATTATAGTCAAAGCTATTATTTAAAGCACAAAATACTCTATTTCATATTCTACAGAACATCTATAAGAAAATCAAAAAGTACATTTCCTTGTTTAATTTTTATTTTTGCATGCGGACATTCACATGGAGCTTCTGCTCAGACGGTTTGTTTGGAGGGCTGCAAATGTGCCCCAGACCTATAATCATTCTCGCCCTCTCTCGTGTGCATGGATTCCAGTTTGCTGTGACATCTGCGTGAGGCGAGCCATGCTGACCACTGTCTACAAATCAGGGTTTTGACATTAGCCATAGTTTTCCCCATGCAGATATCACAGTGAGCAATAATTAGGAGTACATAAGCCAAGAACAGCAGGAGGCTGTGAGCATGACAGGAGAAGTGCCAGCATGGAAGCCCCCAGCACATTTCCAACTTCTCTACTTGGTGTGCACAACCGGGAACCCAACATCTGAACTGAGTCAGTGTGCATGGACTGATCCACATACTTACACCAGGCATGACATTGTCCTGATGAAGCAGAACATGCTGGCATGTGAATGCTTGGCATGGACTCTCTGAGTAGAGCAATAGGCCCACCCAAAGCTGTGTTTGCTCGGGTGGGCATATGGCTCTCTTGTGTGCTCCCAAGGATTCCCCATACATTGCAAAGGAACACATGCATTATTTGGATATCTCCTCTGGAATCGATGAAGAAGCTGCTTGAGCCAGAACCCACTGGAGTTCCAGCATCCTGAACAGATGAGAAGAGTTGCTGTTACCTTGCTTATGATAAATTAGCCCATGCAACACAGGATCTTCCTACCTAGAAAATCCTTATCTTATGCCACCGTTTTCCTCCTAATAGGTGTAAACCAATGTCTTTCTCAACTGCCTCATAGCAAATTACTCACCAATGTTATAAGCTAGAGAGATATTCCTTTCCCATCCTCTTAGGGTACTTACTCCTTTCCTTTTCTTAAGCTTTAGTGAAAATGCTACTGCCATGGACACATGCAAAGCTCAGCGTCCACCGCTACCGGATTGTGTAGGTGCTGCTGCAGTGATCCAACGACCAAGCTGCCCAGCTTGCTTCCATGAAAATCACTGGGTGATCGTCAAGCGACTGCAGTGTGTTTAGTTTAACTGAAATATGAGTGGCATGTTGGGCTAAGCTGCGCAGGCATGCAGGGTGCTGAGTCTCTGATAATAGCACTTTCCACCCTGGTATGCAAAAGAAAACATATATCCCAAGTGGGACCAAGTCTTCTTAGGAGAGCATGTGGCATTGAAACTGCCAACGCCTTTCAGCAATGTTGTGATGATGGCTAAGAAAAGTACTCACCAGTTCAGAAAGTAATTGCCCTCACTCGGAATTTACTAGCTTTGTCTTTAATGGCATCACCCTGTTCGTGATATCATTCCAGACTGGCTGGGATTGCCCATGTGACTCTTGCTAGGAGACATCCCTCTTATTAAATGAGTGTGTACAGGTGGTTCTGAGGGAATTAATTATTTAATTTGTATTCCACCCTAGCAGTTCTCCAAGAGTGGCTCACATGAAATGTGAACTGAGATATAATTACACAAACACATAACAGAATGAATAAATAAAATAGCAATTGGAGGACCAGGAATCCTAGTAGCAACAGAGATGGACTAATGGTTAGCCAACCCCTTCAGAGACCTTACAAAATATCTTGTGTATTCTTCAAAAACTAAGAAAGAGGCTCCTTAAGCGGGGAGTTCCACAGTGAGGGTGACACTACAAATAAAGCCCTGCCTCTTCTGCTCTAGCTGAAATATCTAGAGCAGAAGACCGTATCATGTGGCATAAGCATGCAGGGATATTCTGGAGGAAGCAGAAATTCCCTTAGATAACTGGGCCCAACTGTTACGGACCTAGCAGGGAGCACCATCCATTGCCCTTGTGGGACATGGATGCAGAGTCCTCACTCCTCATAACAAACTCGGGCGCACAGCGTGTGATGCAGAAGGAGAACTCTCCACAGCCTGGTTCGGTGTGGGTTACCTTTCCTGGACTGGGAGGATCGTTTCTCTAGGCAGGTACAAGGGTGAAAAGATTAGCTATCCACATGTAGCTACTTCAGATCCTGGTTACACTTATTTCTTTTGTGTTTCTTGGTTTCAATCTTCCGTAAGAATGTAATTCCGATTTCTGTGACATCATCTCCCTTCAAAGCATCTTGAATGAATGTAACTTCAGCAGCTAGGTGCAGCTGAAAAGAAACAAGCTGAGTCAGCCAAATGAAAGAAAACATCCCTTCCTAATTCCCCTTTCTTTTTAAAAAGTTGCCTTGTACAAGAAAGAGACTGGCTTCAGCGGAACAGTAACCCACACTCAACAGGACAGGCTGTCGTTGAATCATGGGCTGTTGTGGAAATGTGGGTTGTCAAAACACAGTCAAACACTTCTAACCCCGGGTTGTCATGACACAGGTATGCCCCCTACCCCACCCCAAGACTGCCAAATCACAAAACCTTTTCAGGGCAGCTTACAAGCTAAAAACAACAAATGCACACTTCCAAATGAGTTTTCAAGAAACAACGTTAAAGGTTTGCAAATGGTGGAGTGATGGAGAAATGGTTCAGATGATCCCTGATGAGGTGTAGACTCTGGACAGGTGCAGGCACTCCTCCCAAGTGAAGAGAGATGTGGGGGGGGCACTTACTGGTTCCGGTCGTCTGTCATGCTCTCAGCAGGAAGCCCCACAGAGGACTAAATGGAGCATTTGGGCCATCCGTGGCACCGTCAGAGACAGTTTCCTTACCTTCAGGTAAGTGCGAGTGGCCCCAGTTTGCACCGATAGAACTCCAGGAGGGAGGATCTAACTCTTTCTCCCAAGGGTTTCCTTTGTCGGGAATGTTAGAAGAAAAAAGTCAATTCTGACTCCTCTGGATTGGAGGAAATTGGAGGGAATGGGGGGAAGATTTACCTCCCCCATAAGATCTATGGTCCTGATATGGATTGGGGTTGCACACTCTACAGGGGAGTAGCAAAAACTACCATGCGTTGTTTCACTCTGTGTGGTTAGCTGAACTTCTGGCCCTTAGCACTGGGACTGGTCCAGGGTCTGAACTGGACCGGGAGCCCACCTGACCACAAAAGCCTCCTTCCTGGCAGGGAGCACACAAATAGGACTAACAGACTCCACCGCACGGTGGGTAATATCAACACGTGCCTTTTTTCGGAGAGCCTTTAAGAGTCTGTTTTGGATTCCGTGTGCTCCGCTCTGCCCTCTACAGCGACTGGGCCTCTGTTTTTGTCCTCCCAGAATTGCGCAGGGCTGCTCTTTGCAAGGCTTGGCCAGTGTCTGCATGGCTGCAAAGGGGCTTGCTGGATGCCAGCAGTGCATGGCAGTGTGCATGCGTGTGTAACACTGTGTGTGTGCAGAAGAAAGACAATCGGGGCACCGCTGCTTACCATTTCTAGAGCGCCTCTGATGGTGCCACACAGAAGACTGCAGTAGCACAGTGAAGATCGCCCTGCTGGCAGCTCCTCCACGAAGTCCACCAAGGGATTCTTGTCCAGAACGAGGGAGAACTCATTCCCCATTGAGTTACTGCAAGTCACAGTAGCAGTGACGCCCAGATACATCTTAAAAGCCACCTGGAAATGCAGGGGAAATACTCATCACTGGGTCTAACTAGACCTTAGTTGGGCTAAAGAGCAGCGCCTTTCTTTATTTACTTACAGATGTCAGAGCGATTCACATCAATTCTCCAGTGGAGAGGGAGATTTAGCCCTTCCCAACCACAATCCCAGTGAAGAATCCTCTCCTGTGCTGCAATTAACCTTCGGAGAAAGGGGCCAGTGAGCTGGTTTCTCTGCATGAGATGTTTTAACCTGCTGCTTTACTAAGGCTCCTTTCACTGTGGGAGAAACATCCAGAGTTGGTGTTTCTCTGCTTTTCTACATATTTCTACATATTGCACCACAAAGCGGAGCTCGGGTACGGCAGCAGTACAGCAGATCAGTGACAATGCTCAAGGTCTTTGTTCTGGTTTGAAATTTAATTGGTCATTATCCTCACTGTAAAAATAGCCGTAAAAATGTGTGGGAAACATCGGAGAGGTCCTGAAAGAGGGCGGCATGGTGCACAGATGTCCGGCACACCTCTGTGAGGAATCCCAGGGGCACAATTCATGCCTCATGGGGAGACACCAGAGGATTCGTGATGGTTGTCTGCAGATGACAGCTGGGAAGGGACTGTTTGCCACCAGTATTGTGTTCCTACACCCATAATTAGTTTTTAAGATTCCCCCTCCCCCCCACACACACACAAGAAAATAGCAAAAGTTTCTGTTCTTGACCTGGCATGGGAAATCTACATACAGTTTTTACAGTTTTTAATGACATTTCTGTCCTGCCTTTTTGGCCTCATACAAGGCCCCTCATGCTGAAATAAAGGCACCCCACCCCCCGTGATCTCTCTTGCACCTCATCCCCTTGCATCAGTTGGCTTTTTGCCCACATGTGCTTTGCCTCCTGCTACCTCCCCCCTCCCCCCCCTCCAAAAATCCCTTTCTGCTTCAAATGTTTTTTCTGGAATCCAGTGCCCTCCTCTCCCTTTTTATAAATAGGGGTGGCTTTTGAAGGCAGGATTCTTTAAAGACAAACAGGGAGACTTTAGAGTCCGTTCTCTACAGTAGCATATGCACAGTTGTGTTTGTGTGTTTCACTGTTTTGCCCTGAGTGCCTGAGCTCCCCATCTTTATGGTACCTAGCATGCTGCTCACAGCATGAAAGATGCCCAGCCAACCACAATGCACAGGCTGAATGGCTTTAACAAGACCTGTATGTTCATAGGCTGCCTTTTCCTCATCTACCCCCATGGTATTGAACTCTGCAGGAAAAAGTGCACAATCAGTTCATTATCGTGCACAATGAGCGCACTCGTGTTTATTTTGCTGCATGAGCTCTGGAAGAGGGCAAGCACAGCTTCCCTAATAAATACATATATGGCCTTCAAAGCTGCTCATATGAAGTTAATAGTATTTTCCCCAAACAATGTAGGAAACAATTATTTACCCCTTTCATATGCAACCACTCACAGCCTATGCAAATATTTGAACTGAAGCCTGTTTAGATTATTCCACTGTGCTTTTGATGGCTCCATTATGGGATTCGTATTATCATCTGGTTCTAATATCAGCAGCTATGATATTGCCCATTTTATATGGACTATGTTTTGTCTGTTGTACTTGATTTGATTTTGTTTCCTAAGGCTCTGGGTTGAAAATAAAAGAGCTGCAGTGAGGGAGACAGGAAGCGTCTCTTTCAAGATGCATCTTTGATCCGTTTTGCAATGTTTCCTGCATGCGTCAAGTCACAGAAAGAAAAAGGCATTTCCTCCTTTCTCTAGTGTACATTTTAGGCTTTCAGCACACAGAACACTTCTGGGAATTTTGATTTCAGACACCTAATTCTGGGAATTGCTAAATCAAAGAATGAAAGACAAAGGACAGAACTCGAAAGAGAGAGTGCAGTCAGTCCAGCCAGAATCCAACCCCACCGCTTGAAGCCCACAATCTGGATCAGGGGCCTCCTCTCCCACCTGGCTGTTGTTCAGTACTAATGGCCACTTACTGCCTGTGACATCACCACACCTGCAAATGGCTGCCCACGGGCAGGTGGGGAGTGCCCGCCTTCCTCCCTGCTCGTATTTTCCCTCCTCAGAATGGCATGCATCTATCCATTCCCTGCTCTCATCAGGATTACTTCCACTTGGGAAGACGTGCTGCCGTAGCAAGAACACTCCTTCCTCCAGCCACACTGTGCTCCAGATGTTACATAGGAAACCTGTGCAACACTCTCTCCCATTCCTGATTTCAGGGCTTGCCAAACAACTCCCAATCCTCCATCGATGGCTACTGTCATTTGACCCAGTTGCCAGATTTTTATTCATCATCATCATGATGTGTAAAGCCCACATATTTAAGGAAACTGACAGGATAATTTTAAGTAGCAATAGCGTTTTCACTAGTGTGAACATGTGAACAAAGAGATCGGCCCCACATGTGCTAAAGCTTCATGTCACCAACATTATTTCTTTAGTAAATGTATAAACTATACTTCAACATAACAGTATTAGCAAGGATTTAAAAGGATGAAAATGATGTATGTATAAATGCAACATAAAATCAGATTTTTTAAAAAGTCACAGAAGTAGGCATCATCTAATCCTTTCATGCACACAGTTCCGTGGCAAAAGTGGTCCTGTCCCCAGTCAGTACCTGCCTAAATTCAGGCAGAAGCAGCATTCCAAAAGGAAAGAACGAAGGCAGAGTGAGATGGAAGAAGATGGAAGATGGACCTTCAGGTTATGTGCCAGACATTTGGTGGCCTGATATGGAGCATCAAATGAGCCCTGCCCTCTCACATGCACCACCCTCTCAAGTAAAGGAGCAAACGTCCCAGAGTTGGGACACAAGGCAGAAAATTCCGCAAGGGGGCCAGTGATGAGAATGATGATGATGCCAATGAGCTGCAAATGTGCTGCTCCTTCATGACACCCCACCTAATGATATGACCCACCCTATCTGGGCCCAATCCATTTAGGACTTGATTCCTGCTTCTTCAAAAGCTGCAGCATCCACAGTAGTGTCTTCTCGGTTGCTGCACTTTCTAATTTCAGTGAAATGAGGGGACAGATACAGGCCATGCAGGAAAGGGAAGCAGAAGTGCCAGAGCAAGCTGCTGCTTGGGAAGCACCCCTGTGAAGCACCTGTGCTTTCACTAAGCATCTGCTTGAGCTGGAGAGCAAGAACCGGCTCTGCATACTAGGCCAGACAACAGCCCTGCTGGCTGCGAACAGCAGGAGCTCACATATCTGTTGTTAGCCGCCTAGAGATGCCAAGGTGAAATAAGAGGCATATATTCCCTAGCCAAATTCCCCTTCCTGTATCCACACTGCTCCTTTCCCTTATTTCTCCTCCCACACTAACACAGAGCTATAATGAACTGGAGCTGAAATGTTCCAACATAGAAGCACATGGTGCTCATTCGTATTTGCAAAAATAGCCATGCATCCAATCAAGCACATGCTTGGAAACTGAAGGGCAGCCAGGCAATCCTTGTATTATGAGCAAGGCCCTGGATAAGCTGGGGCTCTGCTAGCCACATCCAGGCAGGGCCAGCATCATCCCCTACCTGGCCAATTATGTCTGCAGTTTCTGAATAACTCCGGCACTTCCTAACAGCAGAACGAGCCAAAAAGTCTTCAACCAGCCGTATGCCAATACTGTACCCCCTGAAAGAAAGACAGGATGGAAGTCAGCTGTAGCCACGCCTATTTTCCATTTCCACCATATTTTCCTTCTCTGCCTTTTATTTCACAAAATATGGCAGCTTCCCCAGCTAGGCACCTTCACATAAGTTAAACTACAATGCCCATTAGCCCCAATCAGCATGAGCAATTTTCATTTTAAAAATTAAATTATTTTATAAACCCTTTCCTCTTTCATTTTTCCCAGCCACACTTGATGTCAATTTCACCTACAGAAAGCACTTCAGGTTATGAAATTGTGGATAAATGAAAATTAGAACAGAAGTTTTGGTGCTTTTCATCACAGTCTTCATAACAGGAGTACACATTCTGAACAGAGTTACCAGCTTTTCCTTTTTTCAGCAGGTATCTACTTTGCCCATGTATTTGATAGGCTGAAATTAGGCCTGAAAAATATCACACCACCACCCCACAGACAGGGCTATTTTGGGCCTTAAGCAGCTTATCATGTAAGGATAAGCAACTGAAGCTTCTCATGCCCCGGGAGAGCAATAATCACAGAATCATGGAATAGTAGAGTTGGAAGGGATCCATAAGGCCATCAAGCCCAATCCCCCACATGGTACAGGACTCCAAATTCACACATGCCGAACTGATGGCTGTCCAGCTGCATCTCAAATGCCTCCAGTGTGGGAGAGCCCATGGCTTCCCTAGGTGCCATTGTTGTACTGCTCCAGCAGTCAGGATCCTTTTCCTGATATACCACTTGAGCCTGGCTTCCTGTAACTTGAGCCTGTTATCTCACATCTGCACTCCGGGAGTATTAAGAAGAGATCCCAGTCCTTCTCTGTGAGAATCATTTCAAGTACTTGTAGGGTGCTATCTTATCTGCCCTCAGTCTTCTCTTCTCAAGCCTAAATGTGCCCAGGTCTTTCAATCTCTTCTCAAAGGGCTTTGTTTCCAGTCCCTGGATCATCTTTGTTGCCCTCCCCTGAACTTTTTCCACCTGCCAAGAGTTGCAAGATGCTGTTGTTGAGCAAAGGCAGCTTTTTCATGAATTGGAAAGTGTTACCAAGTCACTTTCTTTGGGATGAACAGTACTGACTCCATTTTGAGGCAAACCTACTAAGCCAACTATCTCTGTCCCCAGCTTCAAGCAAAGGTGGCAGGAAGATACAGGAATGGGATTAAGACCCATCATATCACCTAAGAGGATGGACAGGAGCTTCTAATGGACTTCTTTCTATGTATTCCCCAAAGGAAAAGGTGGCGAATGAACTTGGAAGCAAGAATAGCGCCTGGCAAATTTCCTGCTTCACAACCCACACTGGGCTCCCTTTGTTGCACTCCAGCATTAACATTTGCCATTAAGACAAATGAAAGGCCACCCTGTTAACTGGAGGGAGCTGGGAAGAGCTCTGGGGTCTTTTGTCTACTTGTTCCCGACAAGTAGAGCCTCAAGCTCAGTCATTGTCTCATAACACGTATGGGACCATTTCCAGTGCTTGCTAACTTGATCACCTTCATTGAAGTGGTGACTTCACAGCCTGTAATTGGACCCTATAAAACTGCTCAGTCTTCTGCTGAAATCACCAGGGCCTCGACCCACCAACCCTGGGCAGGGCGCCATGCTACTGCCAAGACCACTCAGAGCCTCCCCTCTCAGGGGAACAGCCTCATGCCAAAATTGCTGAAAGGCAACTCAAATGACTAGCCTCACTGGGTGCCTTGCCTCCCATAGTCAAGGCTTTCCATTTTCCTTCCTCTTGAAGGAAGTTGAGATGCTCACTAGTTCTTGTCTGTGGGAAAGGACTTCAGTCCAAAGAGAAATATTTTGGTCTTGGAGAGTCTTAGTACAAGTTGTCGCCTCCACCCACCCCTTCCCCTCTTCAAGCCTTATGGGAGGCTCCTGCTCACGGTCACTCAAAACCCAGGTTTAGGCCCTCAAGCTTAGCTTTGCTGAAGGTTTAGCTAAGTTCCCCATCAAGGCATGACTCTCACTGAAGGCTGAAACACTCCCAACTGATGTAAACAAATCCATTTGGTCCATGTGTGCCTACACATCTCTGTAAACCTAAATAATTGTGCCACTGTGGTGTTACCCTCTTCAGCAGCGGCCAAGTGCACTGTTGGTGCATCTCTTTGGTGGGAATCTATCTTCGTATCCATAGATTCTCTCTTTCTCAGTGTCTAAAAATTCCTTATAAGTGGGTGTGTTGAAACATGCACAAGCTGATGCACACGTCTAACTAGGCCAAGATGAAATGCACCAGCAGAACTTTCTGCCAACTTAAAAACGACGTTCAGTGAAAGTATTCACGTCCTCATTTTCTCACCACTATCTGGATATTAAAGTTGCAAGGAAAAGAAGTTAGCAATGTTATTGATGAAGATGGTGTTGGAGATTCAATACAGTATGATTACTAAGGAATGACCAATAATGTACAGGAGACTCTCATAAGGAGAAAACAGATGCAACGAAGTGGCACATTTATCAGACTGAAAGGGTTTAAATGGGCCCACAGAAAAAATCCATTAAATTCACTCCCTCTTAATATTTCCTGGTCACGATTTTCAATGGCTTTGACTGGAAAAGGAACTGCTGTTAATGGGAAGGCATTAAGTAATCTGGGATCAGACTATATGACACAAAGCCAAAAGCGATTATAATAGCCAGGGTATTGATATAATGCAAAGTGTTCTTGCAGACTAAGCTCCAGGGCAACATTATGCAGCAGATCAAATTGTGCCAATGGCTGTTTATTTGCAAGAATGTGAAAACAAATTTCAGCATCAACAGCACTGGAAAATATCTGAACAACAGATGTTAAAATCTGTACATCTTTCAAATGTGTACAGCAGCACTAAACAAATGCTCACATGATTTTCATGTTCATTAAAAAGTAGCACAGTTATGAATTCGAGTGAAAAGAGGCTCTTAAATTTGAGTAATTTGGCAAGTCCATTTCTTGCTATGGAAAGATTGATGATTTCCTAGAAAAAAAGCCATTCTTGTGGAAAGGCTACAGTTACTACGGTTCTTTAGAGGAAGCTGGGACAATTAAACCAGCTTTAATTGGAAGCTGGGACAATTAAACCAGCTTTAATTGGTCAAAATTAATTCAAGATGACCACAAGGTTTGCAAAGATGCAGAGGGTCCATAGGAGGAAAAACAAAAACAAAACCCAAAAGTAAAAGAGGGTAGATATCCAATACAGACCAAGGAGGACTGAGCATGCTCAGTGGCCACAAAATGTAGACAGATTGTTGAGCAAAATGCAGAGAGGACAGGAAACTGCATAAGAAGGAAAATGGAGTGGGGTATCATAGGTGGGGCATGGCGGACTGGAATAGTAGTAATACTTGGTGCTGCAAAGCTTTGTTGCAGTCACAACAACAAGCCAACAAGGCCAACCAAAGAATCCTGATCATCGGGATCAGAAAATTCCAAGTACCAGAAATAGGATAGCCACTTATGCATGGCCTAAAAGAGGAAAATAGAGGACACTAATTCATATTTCTATAGCTGCAAATTTAGAAATAATTACAATAATTTGAGCAGTAGCACAGTCCAGCTCCTGACAGAGATGAAGGCTGCAACCTGTTAGTTCTCCTTAGCCTTTTTCTTTAAACCAGGTTTGGACTGGACAGCCCTTCCAAAAGAGGATGGCATCAGAGGACTTTTCTTGATGAAGGAGCATACCTGGCTATTCTAAGCAGAAGGAGCACCTTTCCCCATATCAGCTCATTTATGCCTCAAGGTATTCCTTTGGAGGCTTTCTCTAAGTCAGGGGTCCTCAGACTTTTTGAACAGGGGGCCAGTTGACAGGTGCCAGCGGTGGCCATGGGCTGCCAAGGCGGTGCCGGCGGGGAGGCGCGGGCTGGTGTGGGGGCTGGGCACGCACACATACGTGCACATGCAAGGCGAGGCGGAGGGGGGCGCACGGGGCGAGGCGCTGGCTTGCTCATGAGGAGATCATTTCCGAGTGAGTCCAAAACGACCTCCTCCCAAGCAATCCACCGCCGGGCACACACAGGGTGAGGTGCCAGCTTGTTCGCCAGGACATCATTTTCTCCAAGCGTTTCCAAAACGACCTCTTAGCTGCGCATGCGCCCAGCAAGTGCAAAACCTGTGGGGTGGGCCAGTTAAAGGGCATGGCAGGCCACATCCTGCCCACGCACCTTAGTTTGAGGACCCATGCTCTAAGTGCTGCCTTTTTTAGAAGCACACCTGTTAAGTGACATGAAAGACCAGGGCTGCCTTGGTGCTGGCATCCCAACTTTGGAATGCCCTTCAAAGGAGGCCTACCTGCCACTTCCACAGTGACCTTCCTGGCACCAGGAACTTGTCCTTTACTCAGGCATTTTAATTCATTGTCAACTTTTTTAGTTGCCAAGGATTTTATTTGCTCTTTTACTGTTTTACTGTTTTGTGATATAAACCAATATGCTCTCAAAAAGCAAAAACAAAAACGATGGGACCTTCCAGAAATGGGTTAGGGTTAGGGAGAATATGCTGAGATCATGTGGCACTTGAACTGCGTGTGGGTGAGCTCCATTCAGCTATGGTATGGTACTTTGGAAGCAGTGGGTTGCAGCAGAATTTCTTTGGGTATGACACAAATATTTATGCAACCAAGAAGTGCCGGTTTTTGTAGTAACTTCTTGTGCCATCGTAAAAATATTTTGCATCTTTGCAGTGTTGAGTATCCTGTGTGCATCAAGTGATAACAAGGTGAATTAAACCCATTCCAGTTCTAGACTGTAACAACAAAATGGTCACAAGTCAAAGTGGCATAAAGACTTCTGCAAGGCACTGTCTTTTTTAAAGAATTAGCTGAATGAATCACTGAAGCAAGAAAGGGGAGCCATTTCAATTTAATGATGTAAAAAGGTCAAATCACAGTTTCTCCTCAGCTGCAGCTGAATATATGCTTGCTACTTACATGCTGTCTAAATATTTGTTCACATCTTCGTCCTTTTCACAATCTTTACACAGCTGGGCTACCAAAGCACCGTAGGTGAGCACAAAAAGCTCTCTGCTCTGCCAATCACAGAAAAAAATGTGTAAAGGATATGCTTTCGGATCATACCCGATCAGAAGGGGAAAAAATCCTTGCCCACCACCCCCAGGCTCCCAGATATAAAGTCCAATGAACAGGCAACAAACACAATCACAGCATGATTACCCATTCTATCAAAAACAAATGACATAGAACTGTATTGGCAAAGCCCAGCATGAATTCCCCCAGCAGCCCAGGACCCAGGAAAAACACACAGGATAGGTGCAATAGACATTCTGCATACCATGTGATGAGCTGATGCAGAGGATGAAATGGTGGGCAAATGCCAGTCCTACAACATAAAGAGAAGTAAAAGGGGCAGGAACACAAAGATACAGTCACACGTTTCTTACATGGCTTTGCTAGAAAGCTTTTTTTTTTTTAAGGAATAAAATCTGGTGAACTGAAAAGAAATGAAAAGCATTTAAGAATCAAAAGGATTCACAAGCTGAATCAGCAGGCCCTGGAGAAGTATTAAAGCTACAAGCACATATAAGATTTGTTTTAAAAATCCTTCAGCAGCACTTTCCACTTTTTTCATTGGAAGAGCCACCAAGTTTGAAACAAAGGGGGCAAGGGAAGGGGGGGGGGATCTCTACACCCAAACGGGGTGTCTGTAGTATGCATGTCACAATGTTAAGAGTCACAGAACTAACAGGCAACAACAACAAAACAGTCCAGAATTTTGCCATGGACTTCAAAATGTCGTGGACTGCAGCCCTGTCTAGGCTAAGTAGCTATGAATAAGATTGCAGCCTGAGAGGAAAAAATCAGCCAAGCACTCACATCTGGCTGCAGCACATGTGCCATTGAAATGCGGGAAATGTGGGGGAGAACAGAGAAGCACAGAGTGAATTCTCTGATCTCCTTAGCTCAACAGTATTTGTGCTTTCTGTCTTCACGGATCCATTTTCCTGATGCCTTGCCTGCTGAGAGACATCCTTGGACATTGGTCTGTTGGTCCTTGGACATCGGGCCTCTCTCTTGCTCCCTTGATAACTTTTGATGAAGCCAGGGATTAATCAGGACCCTTTGAAAACCACTGCCTTTATCTCTAATTTGATTTCATCATCATCAATGGATATTTTACATTTATGCAGAGGTGAGCAAAACAAGTTAAAGACACATTTGGACCATTATACTTTCACATACTTCGGAGTAATGCCTTACAAGCAGAGAAGCAACGATGCTAATTTCTAGGCAATGGACTTCCTTAAAAACAAAACACCTTGAACTTGTGTTTAAAATTGATTATTTTGTCTTCTTGGTTTCACTGAAGAATTGATTGATTGTATCTTAAGCACATCCTTGCCTTTGGGAGCATCTATTCCATATGATTATCCAAGGATAATGTTTGCTTCAACCTTAGGAAAACTTTTGTTTTTTAAAGGAGATGGAATACAAACTAGCCACACTCGCATCACCTGTGCTGCCATCCAGTGGCTTTCAAGGGAAATCTTGAATAACTTCAACATCTGGAGGGTAGGAAATGATTTGGGGAGGAGACAAGTGCAGAGGAGAAAGATTTTTGGCAAAAGTGGATTGGCTTGAAAAAAAAAGAACATTGACATTTCTCTCCAAATCTTTCAAATATAGACATGGGACAGGTTCAGCTATTTTTTCAACACACATTAGCTTCTTTGAGAAGTACAACTTCCAAAATTACATTTTATTTTACTATAGTGCATAGTAGTATAGCAGTGTAAGACCTGATACACATCAACTAGTTTAGTTAATTAGAAACCTTTAAGTAGCGTAGAAATAGGTATCAGCATACAGAATCATACCAGGCAGCAAAATGCCTGGGTTATTTCCTTTCAGCAAAGCACAGCAAAGCACGATGTGTGGTTCTCATTGTCACTGTGGTTGAATCACTCTTTGTGAAAGTGGGTATGTGGCTCTGTGGCCTCAGTTCACCTCCCTGCTCAGCCATGAATGAAATGTATTGGATGCCCTTGGGCGCAAGCACTCTTCCTCAGCCTAGCTTTCCCTCACAGGGTTACTGAGAGCATAAAAAGGGAAGATCTAACTTCCCTTCAGTACTGAAAGCAGATCTTTTCAGCCTGCTGTGAAAATTTAAACCTGGGGAATTTTACAGTCTCCCATCTCAGGCACTTCCCTTCCCTTTGAAACGTCATTTGCAAATAATTTTTCCATGTGTGTGTGTGTGTGCAGGCATACAAGTATGTGTATGCAAAGTGTGGTTAAGTATGTCACACTTTTGTGTATGGGATCAGGGAGAGGAAATGGGATTCTTTGAGATATCATGACACGCTGGAGGGTTTTTTCAACCAGAAAAACCCTGCTGCCTCAGCGAAAGAGCAAGAGACATGTATGAAAAATGGATGGCTGATAAATGATAAAGACTAAGTTCAGACAATATGATTACCAGGCCTCAAGAGATGAGTGTAGCCTGTTGCTAAAACATAAGTTATTGTGTTGTTGGTTGCAATAACAAGCCACGGTCTGTTAACTATGAACAATCTAGGAAGAGAACCCATGGTTTGTTATTGAATTGAAGTATGGGTTGTACATCATGATTTGTCATCTCATTTGGATGCAGACAACAGAATAGCCCATGGTTCAAGACAACCCACATTCAGCCCTTGAACACAGGTTACTGCATTGTATGAATCCTGTCAGATAGATAAGTGATCAGATAAACTGTCAGACAGCATATTGCCTGTATGGGGTGGGGCAGGGTGGGGGTGAAAGGAAGAAAGTGTGGTGTATGCAACATTGCATGGCACACTCAGAGCATCTTAATAGCCACTGCTTTCGGGAGTTTTTGAAGCTCTGTTTTCTGGGAAATTATCACAGGCACTACTACAAACACTGAAACTTGGACTGCAGCCAGAAATGCTTGCTCTGGGAAATGTTTGCAAAACAGTATCTGAAACTGTCTAAAATGTTGACATATACCTAAAAACATTAAGTTTTTTGCTGTATGTTTTAGCTTGTAAGATAAATTTATGCTATGCATGAAGCAGAGCAGTACATCAATTTACAATACCCAAGAATAACTTTAACAGCATTTGACATATTTAAAGAAGCCTTACTATTTTGGGGTTCTCTGGTCTTCTGTTCCCTGTCCGCGGCATTGTTCTTTGGTGGTAGCAAACTACACGATCCCCTGTTTACATTGGTTCTCTCTCAAGTAGCATTTTCCTATTCGGTAACTGCATATCTTCCTTTAAGCTGGCTAATAAGCTCCGGGTACTATACTTTCTGCCTTTGCTCCTCCCTATTGCATGCTTCAGACCTTCCAAGGGAATTGCATTTGGCAAGACAACAAGCCTGTTTCAGAGAACAACCTGACTCAGATCAGTAACAGAGCCATTAAACCACAGAGATCGCAAATCACGCACATTATAGCTGATCTCACTGTAAGAAGCCTGGACAAGAAAGAGCAGAAAATTCAGAAAGTCTAATTATGCTGGACATCTATAAATCTGATTGAATGGCACAGTCAACTTGAATGGAAGATACACATCTCAGAGCATCTGAATGAACAAAATGTTTCTTTATTGAGTTGCTCTGCGGTATCTAGCCGCTTCTTTCTTTACCAAGACTATGATTTCCCGAATGGCACACAAATTTCCCGGGGAGAGTTTCTATTGATGAGGATGATTTTCAGCATCTTTATGCTGCTCTAGAGAGATTCCAGGGTCCACTGAACAATAAAAAAGAGATAAAAGAATAAAAACTGCATTAAAAACAGAATCCTATGCATTAATACTCCAAAACCTGACTTCATTCAATGAAACTTATTCCCAGATTACCACGCATAAGATTATGGCTGCATAGCCCACACCAGACCTGTGTTTCTGGAAGGAGGTCCAGCTGATTTCTGTGCGGCCTCCTTTGGCAAAAGAATGCATGGGACTCTGGCCATAATTGCACTGCGTAACCCAGAGTTACTTCTCCCCTTTCTTGCCGTGCCCGTGTGCCTGGTTAGGCATTCACTGGAAATGGTCAGGCAAGTGTTTGTATGTGGCGAAGTGAGAGCATGAGATTCCAGTGTCAAACTATATTAAAAAGCTTCCCTACTAGAGAGGGGAAAGGAATTTCTTAATGCCTCTGTGTGGGGGCACCACAATTTCCATACACACCAGCTGTTGGCTATGACAGCAGCATGACCCAACCTGAGTTGTGTCAAGGCCCTTTCAAGCAGACTGAGGGAGATTTAAAACACTGTGTGGGGACCACCTCCTGCCCACAGCTCTCTCTGGAAGCAGCTGCTATCCACTGGTTTTGCCCCTTCTGGGCAGTTACTTCTTATCTCGGAGCCCACAGACAGATAAAAGTGGCTGAGAAAAAATAATGTCAGCACCTGCTATACCTTCTGATCCTCCTTAGAGGGAATTTTTGGTGAGCTGGTGAGGATGCATGAATCCACCACACTGACATTGGTAGTGCATCTGTCTGAAGAGAAAGTATTCAGGCTTTTAAAGATGCCGTAGCCCTTTTTGGAATCTCGTGGCCTGATCCTGCTCTACTTTACTCAGAAAAAACTTCTAGCAAGTAAGGGCTGTGGGTATGTTTTAAAATCTGGTGGTATTTTTTTCAGAATCATTGCGGGATTACCCCGGGACCTCTGGGTTCCCGATTTTTCTGTCTTCTGTGCATTCCACTACATGACCTTCTTGTTGGTGGGCAGAGACTGGGAACAGACCTCAGGAAATTTGCCTCTGTCCTTTTGCACCCCCCCCCCATTTCTCACCATGTGCAGAGGTACTTCTGTGCAAAAGAACTTTAAACTTTTGAAATTATGCGAGAGCTGCAAAAACAAACGTAAGTTTGACCAAGGTGCATATTTAATGGCCAAAAACACACAGGATCAAAGCTGATGCACCTTTTTCTTTCTTTCTTTCTTTCTTTCTTTCTTTCTTTCTTTCTTTCTTTCTTTGGCCACATTTGTGCAATTTTCAATATTCAGTCTTCCTCAGTGCAAATGGTCCCCCAAAATGGGGCTTACTTCTAAGGAGACATATATGGGACTGAAAGGACAGCACTTTCTCCCTAAGGCAAAAGGTAAGGGTAAAGAACCAGAAATTGCAGGGTGAAGAGGAAAACTGAGGGAACATTCCCAGAGCATCATTAATGGTGACAACCACCCCACTCCAACACATAGCATAAAAAGGTGGAATGCTGAAGCTACACTGATGGAAACTTCCCATTTCATGTTAGGATTGCAAAGAATAATAAACAAACAAAAATCCTAGTTATTTTCCTGCTCTCTTAGCCTATGGAGAAAGTAGTTGGCAAGCACCAGAGATATATGGGAAGAAT